CTCATGGGAATCGCATTGTTCTCTGAACCCACCCAAACTGTTCTCAGATTAAGTGAGTGGTGCAGATGAAGATGGCTTCACCAGACTGGATGGTCAACATGCCCAGAAGAAAGAGGGGCAGTTTTTACACAGGGATTAGCATATTTATTTAGCAAAATTTATATACCTGTAAGTTGTTTGCAGGGATTGTTAAAATTGGCAAAGAAAACAGTTAAAGGGAATTAAAAACATTTAAAGGTAACAGTAAGAAGGAATAAAAGATGCCAACATCTATGCGTTTGGATAAAAAGGTAAAGGTAAAGGACCCCTGACAGTTAAGTCCAGTCGCGAATGACTCTGGGGTTGCGGCGCTCATCTCGCTTTACAGGCCGAGGGAGCCAGCATTTGTCTGCTCCGCAGACAGTTTTTTCCGGTTCATGTGCCCAGCATGACTAAGCCGCTTCTGGCGCAACGGAACACCGAAACCAGAGCAGCGCACGGAAACACCGTTTACCTTCCTGCCAGAGCAGTACCTGTTTATCTGCTTGCACTTTTTGGGGTGCTTTCGAACTGCTAGGTTGGCAGGAGCTGAGACCGAGCAATGGGAGCTCACCCCATCACGGGGATCTGAACCGCCGACCTCCTGATTGGCAAGCCCAAGAGGCTCAGTGGTTTAGACCACAGCGCCACCCGCGTCCCACATGTGCTTGGATGTGCTTGCCTAAACGTAAATATTTTAGGCAGGCTACTCTCTGGACTTGGTCTTGTAGATATGACCAGAACCTACACAGTGCTCCCAATTTTCATTCCACGGGGCTGGTTCAGAAGAGTACCATGGTCAACGGTAACAAAAGCTGCGAAGAGATCAATAAGCAAGGTCACACTCCTCATGCCCTGGTCAAAGTCATCCATCAAAGCAACCAAGGGCAACTTAGCCTGAACCCAGATTGGAACAGATCTAAATCAATGTCATCAAAGATTGCTTGCAGCTGTCTCCCATCACCTTCCCCCAAGCGGAGATATTCTTAATTGGTTGGTAGTTATTCCAGTTCAAGGGACTGTTTCTTTAGGAGTGACAGCACCACTGTCTCTTTCAAGGCACCAGGAACCAGCTTCCCATGCAGTGAAGCATTAGCCATGCTCTATACCCAACCAGTCAACCCCCTCTGCTAGATTGTCTAACCCAAGAGAGTCAGAGGGCATGCGGTTAGACATAGAGTTGCCAGCACCTTGTTCACATCAGCAGACTGCATAAGCTGAAACTGATCTCACACCACATCAGTGATTTGGCATTAGGGACTTCATCTGGAACTGCCAAGGTCTCCCCAAAATCAATTAACTTTATCCTCAAAGTGTGTAGCTAGTTGATCACAGCGGTTTTGGGAATGTTCCTACTCTGGTCCTTCCGAAATAACTTTGCTGGCTGGTTACTAGAGCATGCAACGGAAACTGCAAAACAAGCCTTAAAAAATAATCTTGTCCACATTTTTCTCAGGTCCAGGCTTTGGGAAAAAGAATAAAGAGGTGACCATGGAGCGGGACTTCTTCATGAGAATGAAATGCACTGTTACCAACAGAGGCAGAACTGTGAATCTAAAATCGGCCACATGGAAGGTACTTTGTTTTTTACGTATGTTTTCTGAAAGATTTGATCTACTCAAGTTGCTTTGTTTTTTTTTTAAATAATCAAAACCCTTGTATTTGTACAAATAGTTTCTTTATGTTTCAGGTTTTGCACTGCACTGGACAACTGAAGGTCTACAATACGTGCCCTCCTCATGCTCTCTGTGGCTACAAAGAGCCTCTCTTGTCTTGCCTGATATTAATGTGTGAACCCATTCAACACCCTTCCAATACTGACATCCCCCTGGACAGCAAGACGTTCTTGAGCCGTCACAGCATGGACATGAAATTCACCTACTGTGATGACAGGTAAAAAGACCAGCTATTTGCTTATAATGCCTCTCCAGCGTGATAAATTGAGAGGCACTGTGGGGTTTGCCTCCTAGGTGGGTCATAAGGAAAGGGTTAAATAAGTGTGAAGTGATTGGCCAGTAGGAACCCAAGGGGAGTAGTTAGAGTGAGAGTTGGGAGTTGGAGAAGGAAGAGGGAGGATAAGTCTGTGGGTTGGTTGAGTTGTGTTGAGAGAGAGTGTGAGGAACTGTTAGGTGGAGTCAGATAGATAGTTGGGATAATCAGTTTGAAGTTGTTAGGAATGTATAAGACAGTAAAGAATCTAAGATTAAGAAACTGACAAGAAAAATTAACTGAAACCATAAACTTGTTCATGCTTATAAAAATAAACTTGATTATTTGTTAATGTTAACAATTGTCTGGACTCCGTGGGTACCCAAGAGAAACGGGTTGGTGGCAACGAAGAAAGCAATCACAGTGGTGGCACAGGGATCAATAGACCGTCAAATGTCCGGGGACCCTGTGTGATCACCACAGGCACCCTTCTTTAAAGAATATTCTTAGACACCAGAGCAAAACGCAGTTATTTAGGCAAACCCCAAAGAAGACATATGGCTCGATAGGGAGAACAGTACCACCATGACTAGAAAAACCCGTGGCAAGTTAAAAAAAAAAGGAGGCCGATGCAAAAGAATTTAAACATATCCTCACTTCTGTATAGATATAGCTGCTAAACATTTTAAGCTGGCTGCTGGGAATTCAAAGTATTTTTGTCTGGTCTTGGTGCTATGACATTAGTACAACACTGCTCTTTCCTTTCAGAGAATTTTGGAGAGTTTGTGCCTGCCCTGTATAACAATATAACATTAGCCTCATTTGGGCATGTGGGTAGGGGGCACAGGGGGTACACTTCACCCCAATATCCCCATCCTAAATGCTTTGCCCTGACCTTCCTGCATTGAGCAGAAAGATCTGAAGTGGGCAACTTCTGCTCAACTAGGAATCCTGGTCATACACCTGAACCAGTTGATATGGTAAAAAGTCTAAAAGGTAGAGGCGATTCCTCTGTCCAGCCTGTGTTTTATGCAATGTTTCCGTGAGAATAAACAGCTGTTGCCAACTGAGCACCCTCCAGACGTTTAGGACTACAACTCCCATCACCCACAGCCAGCACAGACTTATTACCTACTCCCAACATGGTTGCGCTGCCTGCGGCTGATGGGAATTGTGGTCCAAAATATGTGGAAGGATTCCGATTGGCAAAGGCTGAACTGAAGCAAGACTGTGCAAGTTTTGAGATACCCAAGTCAAATGCATCTGGCCAATTCATGTATTCTGTAACTTGCCTTGGCAATGACTTCTAGTCTTTTTTAAACAAAAGGAAGTCTCTTGTGGCATCTGAAAGACTAACCAATTCAACATGTCGAAAGCTTTTGTAGGCTACTGCATAAAATTCAGCAAGCCCTGCTCACAAGTTGCAGCAGGCCTGATCTAAAGCATCCGTCTTGGCGCTAATCCTTTCCTTGCAATCCTTTTGTTTCTCTTGCCATTCCAGTACTCCCAGCAATGCCAGGTCAGGCTTTCCTGTTGCATCATGGGATTTATTTATATAATTTAACACAGGGCCTAAAAAACCAACACGGGCCCTTGAGCATTCTTTTTGAGATCAACCTAGAAAAGACAATGGGACTGTTCATGTGCTGTCTGAGCTAAACATTTGCAGGAGTTCAGCTTCCGTGAGAATATTTCACGAGGCCTGGAAATAAAGAGGGCAACATTCAGCACTGCCCTGAACCCACCATGAGAGGAAAAAAGAAAGTTGAGCGGTTGTAAGAAAGATTTAAACTAATGCTCTTAAGGCAAACAAAGGCAACTTGTGATGGGGATCAGAATATGCTTTAGGATTTGGCATAGTAAATATCCCGTTGCTTAAAAAATATGCCCTGAATCTGTGTTGGATGTGGGAATAAAGCAATGCAAGTCTGCACAACACACACACACACACACACACACACACACACACACACACTGTTTTTCATAGAAATAGAATGGCCAGGGCCTGTCCTCCCGTTAGACAGAATGAAGTGACCAGTTCAGGCAGCGAATCTGGGACATCATGAAAGGGCAGCAAAGAGTTATTTAATTTCATATTGTCTTTTTACTGCCTCAGAGGGAAACAGACTCTCCGGTGGGACTTTCTGCCCCAGGTCCCAAAATAAATCAACTAGCTTTGTGTGCTGTGTACTTTTGAGTGAGAGGGGTCTGTGGGGGGAGGCATTCACTGCTTTGTTTCAGCCAAGCAGCAAAATGCCCTGGCCGGCCCTGAGGATACTTACAATATGGTAAAAGGAAGCTGCAGTCCTAATCTTATGAGCGTGTCACAGAATGGCACTGATTCTAAATTAATCTGGAAAATTATCAGGTGAGGGTTGTCTGAATGTAGCCTGGGTGGTGTTGGACATCGTCATCTCTCTACAGTGGTACCTCTGGATGCGAACAGGATCCGTTCCGGAGCCCCGTTCACATCCTGAGTAGAACGCACGTCTGCGCGTTTGCGGGTTGCGATTCACCGCTTCTGTGCATGCACGTGACGTCATTTTGAGCGTCTGCGCATGCGCAAGCGGTAAAGCCGGAATTAACACATTCCATTACTTCCGGGTCGCTGCGGAGCGTAACCTGAAAATGCTCAACCTGAAGCATATTTAACCCGAGGTATGACTGTATTATTATGAGTACGATTATGATTATTAGAATTTATATACCGCCCTATACCTGGAGGTCTCAGGGCAGTTCACAGAATAAAATCAAGATATAAAACCACAAAATACCTAATAAAAATAAAAACAACCCAATAGCCCCCCCCAAAAAAAACACATTTTAAAAGGGCATAGGATATAAATCAGATCAACCAAAGGCCTGACGAACCTCTCTGGGGAGAGCATTCCACAGATGAGGAGCCACTGCAGAGAAGACCTCTTCTCATGGTGCCGCCCTCCAAACCTCTCAAGGAGAAGACACACAAAGAAGGGCCTCAGAAGATGATCTCAGGGTCCGGGTAGGTTCATAGGGAAAGAGGCGGTCCTTTGGGTATATCTCAACCTTAGTTAGCATAAGAAGCTCAGTTGGTAGAGCGTGAGACTTCATCACAGGGTTGTGGGTTTCAGGCCCCATGTTGCACAAAAGATTCCTGCATTGCAGGGGGCTAGGGGACCTTTGTGGTCTTCTTGAATTATACAATTCTATGATAAGAAGAGGCTGCTGCGTTGGGCCAGGGGCCCATCTTGTCCAGCATCCTGTTCCCGCAGTGGCCACCCAGATGCCTGTGGGAAACCAACAGCAGGATTCGAACACAGGAGCCCACTCCCCTGCTGTGGCTTCCAGCAACTGGTATTCAGAAGCTTTTCTGCCTCTGACTGCAGAAGCAGAACATAGCCATTTGGGCTAGTAGCCATCAATAGCTCTCTTGTGCATGGGATTTGTCTAATCTCCTTTTAAAGCCATCCACGTTAGGGGACATCATTGCCTCTCGTGGGAATAAGTTTCATCGTTTTACTAATTTTATGAACATCTGTCATGGCATCTCTAACTTGCCTTTCCTCTAAACCCCAAATTCCCAAACGCTGCAGCCTTTCCTCCTCAGGGGAGTCGCTCCATACACTTGATTGTTTTGGGGGTCCCCCTTTTTCTGAACCTTTTCCAGCCACTGACAGGGAGGGTGGTTGATGAGGATATAATAATAATAATAATAATAATAATAATAATAATAATAATAATAAATTTATTATTTATACCCCACCCATCTGGTTGGGTTTCCCCAGCCACTCTGGGCAGCTTCCAACAGAATATTAAAATACAGTAATGCATCAAACATTAAAAGCTTCCCTAAACAGGACTGCCTTCAGATATCGTCTAAAAGTCTGGTAGTTGTTCTTCTCTTTGACATCTGGTGGGAGGATGTTCCACAGGGCGGGTGCCACTACTGAGAAGGCCCTCTGCCTGGTTCCCTGTAACTTGGCTTCTTGCAGTGAGGGAACCACCAGAAGGCCCTCGGCGCTGGACCTCAGTGTCCGGGTAGAACGATGGGGTTGGAGATGCTCCTTCAGATATACTGGACCAAGGCTGTCAAGGATAAAATGTGATGTCCCTGTTTGCACTGCCGCAGGCTCTTTGGAGGAAACGCGAGGGGGCAAACAAGCCTTCATCCTAAACTGAAGCAGAACCCCCTAAATCCAGCAGGGCAGTTCTGGTAAGCTTGCTTAGGGTTGCAGCCTGGCAGCAAGAGGTGAAGAGAGCAGCCCGCCCAATCTGAATGGGCACCAAGAGGGGAAAGGATATGGGCCAGCCAGATAAGTGTTTTCCTCCTGCGGAAATGCCCTGGCAGGCACTCCCAGATCAGGAAGAGGTGACGAAGAATAGGGCGTGATGCAAAATCCTCAAAGTCCCTTTATTAAACAACGTCAGCAATGGATATTTGTCCCCAAAGCCTCGTGGTTTGTCAGGCAGTGCTGGGAAATATGCTTTTGTTGCCATTGTGCAACGCTCAGGTTTTTCCACTTGCTTTCCCATAAGCTAGAATGCCCCATTTTCAAACACAGCGGTAAAACTGCTTCTGCTGCAAATACAATTAATAAATCCTTCTAGATTAATGAACTCTGCAGCTGACCAGCGTTTCCTCCTCAAAGCAGAAATAATCCTTCCCCTTAACCTGCGTTGTAGGGTTGCCGTATTTCAAGAAGTTGTTGGGCTTTTTTTAGGGGGATTTCGCCCAAAAAAGGCAAAGAGCGATACTCAAAACACACACTTCCTGGTTCTGTTGGCAAAAACCCAGACATTTCTCACCATGGAAGTGAGAACTGCTGGAAGCATTTGGAACGCAACAGTTAGTAAGTCTCTTTCGTCAGGCTTTAAACTGAAGTTAATGTTGAATCCAACTTTAAAAGCAAATACTAGACCAGGTCCACAATGTTGTTTTTCTGATTTTGGTTTAGTGAGAGCCAAACTAAGGCAGATCATCACAGGAATCAGAATCAGACCGTTTGTCCCTCGAAGCACAGCATTTGTCATACTGACCGGCTCCATCCCTCTAGGGTTTCAGACTTTTCCAGCCATACCTAGAGATGCCAAAGATTTAACCTGGGACCTTCTGCATATAAAGCACTGAGCTATGGTCCTTCCCCAGCAGGTGCTCCTGCTGGCAACTTTTAAGACCCCTGATTTCTTGTACTTCTGCAAACCGTGGGGTTCCCACAAGCCGTGGAGGGTTCCCTCTTCCGCATACGTGCTGCCCATGTTTTGCCCGGATAGGGATTTGCATTCTGAGAATGAGCTTGCTATTAGTATACACTGTTGACTATGAGTGCCAGACAAACAGCGAACAGTCTGAGCTTGCAAAGCATATGCATAAAGGTAAAGGGTAAAGGGACCCCTGACCATTAGGTCCAGTTGTGGCCGACTCTGGGGTTGCGGCTCTCATCTCGCTTTATTGGCCGAGGGAGCCAGCATACATCTTCTGGGTCATGTGGCCAGCATGACTAAGTCGCTTCTGGCGAACCAGAGCAGCGCACAGAAACGCCATTTACCTTCCCGCTGCAGCGGTACCTATTTATCTACTTGCACTTTGACGTGCTTTTGAACTGCTAGGTTGGCAGGAGCAGGGACCGAGCAATGGGAGCTCACCCCGTCACAGGGATTCGAACCGCCGACCTTCTGATCGGCAAGCCCTAGGCTCTGTGGTTTAACCCACAGCGTCACCCGTGTCCCTGGTGATCAACCGATTGCAGGGGCTTGCAAAGCGCTGTGCAGAGGGCTTTGTATATATGGCATCAGACACAGGGCAGGAGGGCATGACTTGGCCCACATGGCCTTGCAAACAAATGGGTGGCCCTGGCAGACTTAATTAGGTTCTTGACCGCTGGTATATACAGAATAGGCAGCATGCAACAGATTAGCTGCTGTGATGCTCCCCTGACCATGTGGCAACTCACCCATGAGTTGGAGTCATTCAAGGGGGAAAGCTTTCCCAAGGGAAAACTATATCAGATTTCAGCTTGCAGGCCATGTTATGCTTGTTTGTTGCTTACCTACATATTAGTCCGTTGCTTGAAGGATAGCAGGTTGCCTAACACATCTAACACAACTTTCTCTCTCTAATTCGCAGCTACGCGCCTTTTTGAAATATAGATGTTATTAGAAAAATGCAACAAGTTCCTGCAGGAATGGTGGCTAAAACCACATTTAAAACAACAACTAGTTATTTCATTCCACTATTTGTAAAAAAACTGTTTGATTCCACTATTTGTTTGAACTGTGGCCATCTTCAGAACTAAGTTCATGTTCCTGTGTGTTTGTGAGATGGAAATAAGCTTACGTGTGGGTTCAGTTCTGTTACTTTTTTATGAGTTAGCAGGACAAGGGTACCATTAAGGAGAGTGAGGAAGTCATCTCCAGCAACAGATGGTATGGGGCATCAGCAAGATGTTGGGAGAATTGTGTGTGCCTTGGGGGCCTGACCTGCATGTCATAAACTAGCTTGCTGTCCTCAGGGATGTAAGAAAGCAGTGATTTCCATTCTGGCCTACATTTGTCACAATCAGCACTGTTCCCCTTCCACTGCAGTTCCGTTTCCACCAAATACTACATTATTCATCTCGCTGCCTGCTACTGAATGCAAGCTGAACTTGCACATATGTTACGCAACTATCTATGCAAAACATTGTAAAAAAGGTCATTAATTGCACATACTTGTGAACTTTAAAAAAAACACCACCACAACAGTGATGTGAACAAATACCAATCATATTCGCATGATTGATTTCCATAAGAACATAAGAAGACCCCCTGCTGGATCAGGCCCATCTAGTCCAATATGCTGTTCTCACAGTGGCCAACTGGATACCTGTGGGAAACCCAGAAGTGGGACCTGAGGACAAGAGCGCTCTTCCTCCCTGTGGTTTCCAGCAGCTGCTAATTTCTGGTAATTCCATTCCTGGCCACAGGTGAACACACAAACTGCAGCAATTTCCACTTCCTTTTCCATTTCCACTGAAGTTTTCAGACATCCCTACATCAGACGCAGCAGAAGATGCTGTCTGCTTGAACTGTAGGTCCAATTTGTTTCTTTATGTGGTATGGGGAAGGTTGGAGAACTGGCTTTGGCTTCATGCGACAAACTGTCTTATGCAGGCCCTGGAACTGGATATGTCAGGTATTGTGTGTGAGAGAGCTTTAAACCAGTGTTTTGGTTGTGGAGAAGGTTTCTTTCATAGGGACATATCAGTGGCTTTATCCTTAGCTAAGCCATATAGCCCAGTACAGTAGAACCTCGGAAGTCGAGTGGAATCTGTTCCAGAAGTCCATTTGACTTCCAAAATGTTCAGAAACCAAGGCACAGCTTCCAATTGGCTGCAGAAAGCTCCTGCAGCCAATCGGAAGCCGTGTCGGACATTCGGGTTCCAAAGAATGTTCGCAAACCGGAACACTCACTTCTGGGTTTGCAGCATTCGGGAGCTAAAACGTTCGACTCACAAGGCATTCAAGGTACGGCTATATTGCATAAAGTGTGGCATCCACTATCCTCAGTCTCAGAGATAAATATTCCCCTTCCTCTGCTGCACCAAATCTTTCAACTTCTGCAAGAGGTGGGCTATTAGACTACATTGGGGTGGCAGAGAAATTCCCACTTGACCATTTGCATCAGTGGAATTGGCACAGCTACAGGTGCCACATAGTACCCATTCTACAATTGTAAAAATCTGATCATTTAGTGTGGCACTTTGGAACTCCCTGTCGATTGAAACCGAGCAGGTGTCATCACTGCATTCTTTTCGGCACCTGCTAAAAACATTCTTGATGAAATAAGCCTACCCAGGCACTTAGAGGTAATTTTAATCTACTTTCGCATCTTAACTTTTGCATGTCTTAAAGCAGGGTTGTGAATTTTTCTTTGATTTTTCTTGTTTTATCCTTCCACTTTGAGGTTTTCTTTACAACCAAGCAGTGGTATAAATTTTATGAAAAACATAAAATAAATAAGTAAATTTGATTCTGTCCACATTTAAAGGTGAACCTACTTAATGTTCACTTTCCGGAACAATACACAAACAGAAGTATAGTCATCCTTTGAAATTCACACATCTCTGAATTTTGCAATGCTGTTCTCCAGATTTGACAGACTCGCTTG